TAATAAGACACATCCGCACCTGCATCCCCGAAGCCAACAACATCGCCATCAGCATCGACACCTACCGCGCCAAAGTGGCCGAGGAGGCCTGCGCCGCCGGCGCAGATATCATCAACGACGTCTCCGCCGGTACCCTCGACCCGGAGATGCTCCCCACCATGGCCCGCACCGGCAAAGCCGTCATCCTGATGCACATGCGCGGCACCCCCTCCACAATGACCAAACTAACAGACTACCCGAACGGCATCGTCCAGGACGTTGGCACCGAGCTCCGCGCGCGCGTCGCCGCCGCCGAAGCCGCTGGCATCCGCCGCTGGCGCATCATCCTCGACCCGGGCCTCGGCTTCGCCAAGAATATGCCCCATGACCTAGCCATCCTACGCGATCTACAACAGTTCCGCTCGGGTGTCGAAGGGCTAGAGTGCTTCCCTTGGTTGATGGGGCCGAGCCGAAAGAGATTCATCGGCCGGCTCACAGGCGTGGAGAAGGCGAGCGAGCGCACTTGGGGCACCGCGGCGACTGTCACCGCTAGCATTGCCGGGGGAGCGGATATCGTGCGCGTGCACGATGTCAAGGAGATGTGGCAGGTTGCCAAGGTTGCTGATGCTATATACCGTGTATAATATTGAGCAGTTTCGTGAGTGAGTGTTCAGCTGCCTTGTGAAAAAATAAATAGACCGCTATTCCCGAATAGCACACTTTGGACGTGCTACTGAACCAGCGGGAAGTGAGTCAAGTGACAGAGGGCCTAATTGGATTATGCTTGCTGGAACGATGCCAAGCCTTATCAGGTTATAGTCTCTATCAGACCTGGTCATATCCAAGTTCTATTTTACAACGCCCCGCGCCCGAGACATAGACAGATCTGAGCCTCGACAAGATTATCTAATTCAGTGAAGAGGCTGTTCGACATAGAAGAAGAACCCAACACCATCACTATGGTTATGATCAGAAGACAAGTCTGAGAGCAGACAGATTTCTCAGAATCCAGGGTGCTTGCACCGGGGATTATTTTGACAGTCTAAAAAGAGGATATATTGATGAGTGAATAGATACTATGGGAGGACCACTATTTGAATGAACAAAAAGGCTTGCTGGGAATGAAGTAGAAACAAGCATGGTGCGCAGCTTGCTTGCACAGACGAGAATGAAAACATCCACAAATCGAATTACAGCATCTAGCTGTTGAGATAGCTGCGGATAGCTCCTGTTTGAGCCGTTAGTCAAAGGACCAGATCCTGAAAGCCGAGAGTCCAAATAAGGATACTTACCCTGCAATTTGACAGCACCTTCGCCTACAAGCTGTGTCAAGTTTTCGAGATCATCACCAGCCGTGATACCAAAGCGGCGAACGAAATCCTTGGCCGCACTCTCAAGATCGCCGTAAGTGTCATCACCAGTCGCGAAATCATCTTCTGGACGACCAAAGTAAGCGTTGCTCGAGATGGCGGATGCCCCGTCAAACTGGCGGAGTCGCTCTTTAGCTTCGGCCTGCGCATTAGGGTCGAAGCGATCCCGTCCGAAGAACTCGTCCGACGAGATACCTTTCTGGCTACCAAATCGGGACCTAGTGCGCTCAAGTTCCTCATCTGATGCTTGGTTAGAATACAATAGACCTGGTCCAGAGATCACAGAAATAGAACAAACCATCTTCAGCGCTCCTGACAGGAGCAACAGAACCGAATCCCAGCTTCTTGGGAGCAGCAGGCTTTGCGCCAACAGTCTGGCCGAATCCCAATCTTCCAATACCCATTCCGAGGCGCTCCACTTCACCGGCGCTTCGTTCATGAGATTTGCTCGTGGACCCGAAGCCACCTGCTCTTGGGCTAATTGGAGTAGGAGAAGCGATAGCGGTGGCAGCAGTGGTAGTCTTGGCTTTGGCATCGGCCTCGGCTTGTTCTGCTTCGGGGTCGTATCCGAGTTTCTCAATGCGCTCTGCCTCCTCCTTGGCCTTTCGCTCGGCCTCCTCAAAATCGATAGCTTCCGCTCCGCCAATCTTCTTAGCACCCAGCTTAGGCGCTTTCTTGGCGCCTAGAACACTGCCCTTCTTCGCGGTAGTTGTAGACGAAGCCTTCCGGACAGAAGCGCTTGCTCGGATAGCGGTCGGAGCAGGCGAAGTAGCCTCCTTGTCCGAGGCTGAAAGAGGCGATTTCGAGCGAGCACCATTGCCATTGGCACCCGCGTTCAGGAACGGCGACGCAGTCCGGCTCACCACTGGGGGGGTACCTGTGCGCGAAGGTGGGTTGCTGGGTCGCTTAATAGAAGGCTTATCCCATGAAGAAAAGAAATCGTCGTCCGCGTCACCAGCAGGGGTACTCGATCCGTCCGAAGCAGTACTAGCGGGAATGTCTGTGATCACGACCTCCTCGGGGTATCTGAATGAGACCAAATCAGCGTTTCTGTGTCTGATAGAGTCGAGAAATCACTGGGCGACGAACTGTTGAGCATCCAGCGCAGCCCGTCTTTTTAACTCCTCCTTGTACTTGACAGCGGCGTTGCAGGTGTATTTGACCTTGACGTCCTTGCTAGCCAAAGCCGCGGATCCTCCATGCGATTGGAAATACTTGGTGGCTGATTCATTTCCGCCGACCTTCATAATCCGAAGCTGCTCCCATTGCCATTCTGTATACAACTAGTTAGTCCTCAAGACATGTGATGGAGGCGGTGGCAGCAGGAGTTGCATACGGTCGAGGTTCGTGGAACGAACAAAGGAGATATGGACACCAAGATTGCGGTGATGGGCTGAGCAGTCAAGACACAAGTAGATACCGAAAGGCACTGACGACCATGTCGGGTTCTTGGAGCCGCAGTCGAAGCATACCTATTGAGCAAGACGCAGATTAGCACGGCAATAGGCGAGTTAAGGAGGGGCAATGCACACCTTGTTTGCGGGCTTCAACTTGAGCTTCTCAAAAATCTTTTGAGACTGCGCTTTTGTGGCACTCATTTTGACTGCAGTTTAAATCAGAATGTAGGAATGAAGCCAAGAGGAAACGTGCCTCGAGCGAGCTGAACGGAAAGTCCAGATGTCTGAAAGAGAGGGAGAGATCCAAAATGCGGCGAACGTGGTCGGAGCGTCTCCTTGGACGATTTGCACAGCAACCGAGTAATTTTCAGCTTCTCGAACGACCCGCCACTTTGGGCGACGATGATGAGGTTTGGGCGAGAGCTGCAATAAACAATAGGGTTTACACAAAACTGAACACAATAGACGCAGGGAATAGATCGCCCAAGGTCATACAGTCTACCAAGTACTTTTTAATTTCTTCGAAAATGAATTCGAGACCAAAGCACAGGTCGTGTAGTTAATTCAGATACTCCAGCTCGTATTGCAATTACAGCGCAAAACCGTCCCTGAAAGTTTCGAGCAGACGTTGGAACAAGACTTCCCACGTGACCGACTGCATCCAGGGCCGTCCCCACTTGGCCGAGTTTCGATCGTCGCGTGCAATACTTGGATGGATTTGCCGGATTCGAGTAGATGATAATACAATTTCGGACTTGACGTTGAACCTGGAGCCGTTGATTCTGATGAATAGTCGCCCACTCCCCGATACACAGTCATGATGAGCCATCATCTCCGCCCAAGTACTTCAATTCCCAAGGCCTCGGCCGCCCTACTGTTACGCCCAGCGTTTCCCCGCATGACGACTTTGACACGGTTCTACGCAACACATAGCGATCTCGGTGGAGGTTCTGGTCCCAAGGCGACCTCGAGACGGAGAAATGTCACACTGCTATCCGATGATGGGCGATATGAGTGGGGAGAATTGAGTGGAAGGGAAAAGGTCTCACGGGCGACGCAGCAGTCGATCAACTTTCTTGTCATAGTAGCCGGGGCGGTTTTGACGGTGAGATGATCTTTGGCCCTGAACTCTCGCTCATGGAGAGTCTCCGGTGGCGACCTATCGGTCTGACGGCAGTTAGGGCGGAGTTTTCTACCTACTCTATACAGAGGTCTTTTCACCCAACAGCAGGACTTGGCAGTTCGAGAAGGCTGTCCAGCGCATCAAGGATGATACGCGGTGCACGGATCTACTAGGCGATCGAAGAGAGATTAAGGCGTATGGAGAGAGCACTGGGAGCCGGTGGGAGCGGAATAGACCTATTGCGTAAGAATCGTCGCCGCTGTGCTCGTTACTGCCTGGAAACTGATGATAATGGCTCAGGACTTCAATCTTCAAAGATCGGCAGGGTCGCGAGCACATGAAGATGCATTTTCATGTACTTGACTCACCTTCCGATACTCTGGAGAAATGCTGACCCATTATAGGTTGAAGGACCACTTAACTCCGGAATCGTGATTGTGCATATGATGAAACCCTTGGACAAGGATGAATGGGAGTATCTACTTCTCGCGTTGGATGTCAAAGGTTCGTCGTCCCGTTACGTTCCCGAGTCCTTCGTCTTACTGACTTCCTTCAAGGACATTCGCGGGTCATCCTAGAGCAAGCCCAAGAAAAGCCCGGCGTTGCAAAGGCGCTGAAGATCTTTGGCATTCAGTGGCGATAGTTACTCATGGAATTGCGCCTATGCGATTGTATCCTTCCGGTCAGCGTATGTCTGATCGACCGACGAATGTCCCCGCGAGTCCATATACGGGCGTACATGGGAGCCTAGACCAGCCGGATCCATCTTGAATGGACGTTACTAGCTATCTGCTAGGCTCGAGAGGTCTGTTCCTCTTGATCGGCCAGGTTTCGTCGTAGACCACCGTTGGTTTGAATCTCGATCAGTGCTCACACTGAACACCAGCTTAAATACCAAACATTTGGTTCATGTATAAAACTTGTATTATAGATATTTGACACATGGGAAGGGCAGTCTCGTTTGTCTCTCTGCCCTCGGTTCTTCTAAAGCGCTCATTTGCGAGTCCACATATGCAATACGCTGGGAATTTTGGAGGCATGCATTCAAAGCATATCATACTCACATACGAATAACAACACATTATCTCTCATAACACATAAAATCTATAACATTTTCCGTTTTTCAGCAGCCTATATCCGAGGACCTTCCAAGATAGTCTTGGCAGCCTCTGTCCGCCACCAACTCTTGCCCTCCTCGCCGGGGAAAGCAAATGCATCCATACTCTCGGGCTTCATCTCCACACTGTATCCGGGCTCCATGGGAGTGACATAGTATCCATCCTTGACGCTAGAAGGGTGCACAAAGTGCTCGTGCAGGTGGTCCACATACTCCAGCACGCTCTTCTTGCCGCTGACGACGACATAGTCGATGGTGCTCAGGTGCTGGGTGTACTCGGGCAGACCGACACCACCGGAGTGGGGGACGATGGGGACGCCGAACTTGCGGGCCAGCAGCAGGATGGCCAGGACCTCGTTGACACCGCCGACACGGCAGGCGTCGGCCTGGAGGACGGTCAGCGCTCCCGCCTGCAGGAGCTGCTTGAAGACGACGCGGTTCTGGCACATCTCGCCGGTTGCGACGCCGATGGTGCCGTACGGGGTGTTCTCGAGGGCCTTCTTGATGGCGGCGTGGCCGAGGATGTCATCGGGGGAGGTGGGCTCTTCGATGAACCAGGGCTTGAACTCGGCAAGCTGGTGCATCCATTCGATTGCTTCGGGGACGGACCAGACCTGGAGACATGGACGCGTTAGTTCAGTTGATCAAATCCGGAAAAGGAGGTTGGGGTCGTACCTGGTTGGCGTCGACCATCAGGATGTTACCCCGGTCGTAACCGATGGCCTCACGGGCGATGGCCAATCTGCGACGGTCCTCCTCCACGTTGGCGCCGACCTTGAGCTTGAAGTGCTTGTAGCCCTGGGCGACACTCTCCTTTAGCAAGACGCGCAGCTTATCCTCGCTGTAACCGAGCCATCCGGCACTGGTGGTATAGGCGGGCACGGCCCGGCTCTGCTCGGCCTCCTTGATACGCTCCTGCTTGGTGGGCTCCACCTCCTTGAGGAGAGCAATGGCCTCCTCGGGGGTGATGGCATCTGTGATGTAGCGGAAGTCAATGCAGCGGACGAACTCCTCGGGAGTCATGTCCGCGACGATGCGCCAGACGGGCTTGTTGAGGGTCTTGGCCCACAGATCCCAGAGAGCGTTGACCACGGCTCCCAGGGCAAGATGGATAACACCCTTCTCGGGTCCGATCCAGCGCAGCTGGCTGTCGGATACCAGGTAGCGCCATGTCTTGCCCCAGTCGGCGGTCAACTCGTCCAGGTCCTTGCCGACAACCAGGGGAGCCAGAAGGGTGATGGCGGCGCAGACGATCTCGTTTCCACGGCCAATGGTGAAGGTCTGTTGCGGTCTCAATTAGTTCTTTCTTTTTCTCATAGTTTATAGGTAGTCAAAAGGCTTGATGCGTACCATGCCATGACCAGCATATGACGAGTCGGTGTTGATGATACAGTAAGCCGCCGAGTAATCACCCGCAGCGTTCATGGCATCAGAGCCAGTCTTGTCGAGGGAGGTCTAATTCACTCTTTCTTAGCCAATTGGCCCGGGGTCTGTCCATATGGGGCGGCGCAACTTACAGGAAACCTCACATCCCGGGTGCTGAAGCCAGTGATCTTAACCATGGTGTCTGCTCAACACTCGCGTTGGAAAGTAGTCTAGAGGAAGTTCACGTCAATCCCAAACCAACCAGCGACTTCACCATGGTCACGCGCATGGCAACTGAGCAAACAACGCCGGGACAAAACTGACCTCTGAAATGCGGGGGATAACAATGAAGTCAATTCAATACACCAAAGTCACTCGGTATACACTCAAGGAACCAAAGAGATCTCAACCCCGGCTGCGAGAGAAAAAGAGAGAGAGAGCGAGAGAGACAGAGCAAAGAACAAGAGAAAAGATTCTTAATTACCCCTCCAAGACATGGGGGCAGACACGCCAGATATACGGCCCTCGGCCGTTCCCCCTCAGGCTAAAACAAGCAATCCAGAACTGCGCTGCGGAACAATTACACTGTCTGCTGCGTCTGGGATTGCCCCAGGGTGCGTGGGACTGCAGTGCCATTGGCGGATGAATTGTCCTTAGCTGTGGACGGTGTTTATCCACCAATGATATAATTGCCCATGACCGTCGGGCCGCCTCCGCGTATTTTATTTTCTGTATAGGACTATGAAACGGTTCCTGAATACAGTAAAGCCCATAGGTACCTAAAGGTAGGTAGTATCTACAAAGTCACGAGTCCACTGGCAATTTCTGCGGTTTCATTTTTGGATCATCTGACGGCTAGGATTGAACTACGGTATCAGACAGATGAAAGACGAGTAAGAAATGTGATTGGCGTAGCTGTTCCAATGCGGCAGTTGGAGCACTAGGTGGTGATTACCTGCTTGAGAGCATAAAGATACCTCAAATCAGGCTTAACTTGAGTGGGTTTCGAATATGGAGATTAGGGATGGGCAGTAAGTAAACAGAAGAACTATTCGGAAGGACTGTACCCCATGTCGAGGTGGATATCAAATTAGAACCGCCCTATCAGCCCAATACTGCTAGCCCTATCGAGTCTCCGTCCTATCAGATACAGTACCGATCATGCTGAAAGACCTCTCTTCTCGCTTTCTGAGAAGAAAATAATCATTCGCCACAACTTGCGGACCAGTACTTCCGCCTCTTCGTCGAGTGCCTGTCGACAATCGGGTTAGCTTCTGCGGTGGGATCATATTTCGTCTCGGGAATCTCACCTCCTCCAGCTGCTCCACAAGCTCCTGAGGATGTCCGTGTTTCCGGACATGCTCTTCCACCACGTCCACCAACATCTGCTCCTGCACTCCGAGGTACTCCACGATCTTCTTCTCAACAAAAGGCTTGAGCTGTTCTCGCACAACAGACTCATCCACAAACTCCCACTTGACATCCCACTTCCATAGTCCTTCCTTGTCGGTGGGGATTTCTGCCGCCAGCTGTCGAGCGGCTTGCGCCCGCTCCTCGTCGGAGAGACCGGCCGCTTCGGCGGCGCTGTCGAACTTGATGGGAATGAGGGGTCGTCTGGCGGTCGTTTGGGGCTCTTCTTCGTCCTCCAGCAGTCCTTCCACTTCGGCCACGGTCCGGCGGGTGGTTGCGGCTTGAGCCTTCTGGGCTGCTGCGCCAAGAGAAAGCTTGAAGCGCTGCGGCTCCCTGGGCGCCTGGGTACGTGCCTCCAGCTCCTCAGCTTGGCGCGCGAGGAAGTCGTCCGCCATGCCACGTGCCTGCTCGCGTTGCTGCGCAGACCGAGCGCGCTCTCGTTCTTCGGCCGCACGGTCCGCCTCGTCGTTGCTGATCTCACGAGCGCGGAAGGCAGCACGACTCCGGAGCCATGCGCCCCGATCGGCATAATAGTCGTCAACCTTGCGACTGGCCTCGATGTCGTCGTTCCATTCCCGATACCGCCGATCAGCCTCATCGCGAATTTCTTGCGCCTTGGCCTCCTCTTCCTTATCCCGCTTCTTCTCACGCTCCAGAGCTGCAGTCCTGCTCCGCTCGCGATTGAGCCATCGCCGTTCCTGGTCAAGAAACTGCTTCTCCAATTCAGCCTCTCTCTTTTCTTGACGTCGGCGTTCCAGCTCCTCGTCACTCGCATCAGTATCCTCGTCATCTCTATCGGTGTAGACCATAGTCGCGCCGTTGATTGCGCCTCCGTTGACAAACGACACTCCTTTCTGGTAATCCTTGGGGATTTGTACGCCGAATCCCTTAGGCCCCGAAGGTGCATTTGGCATGCCGCGGTCTCGCGGACCAAGGGGCACACCATTGGCCCCGGCAGCAGGTCCACTAGGGGCGGTAGGTGGGGGAGAAGCCAGGCGGTTAAGGCGTGGGCCTGCATTTCGTGCTCGCTCCATGGATTCGAGCTCCTCCTCTCGCTTCAAACGTTCAATATCTCTGCGGTTGCTGCGCTCTCGGAAAGCTGCAATCTCCTTGGCGACTGTCTCCCGCATTTCAGGAGGAATGTCGGACAGTTCGTCTTCAATCGTAATTGGAATGGTGACAACTTCAGCAGAAGTGCCATCGGCGCCTTCAGCATCCTTCATGGCGGTGTCTCCTTCACGGTCGACGGCGGAGGCGTCTTCCTTGCGAGTGGGCGAGGTGGGATGGAAAAGCTCGGAGAGAACGTTGGCGAGTTTGCTACGCGCAGCATCGAGCCGCGCCTGGCGTTCCGCCGGGTCTTGTTCGCCTCTGGAGTTTTCGTACTGCTCCAGATAGCTCAGGGAACTATCATCGACAACCACCTAATCGCAACATGGTTAGATGCGTAAAATGAACCTGTAGGGCTGAATACGAACCAGTAGTCTGCTCTTTTCCACCTCCTGCTCCTTCTTGTTACCCTCCTCGGATGGCGTTTGTCTCTTGACCGGCACTTCCACGTCCTTTAGTATTTCTACAGCAGTACCGAGACTTTCAGGGTCCTCGTACTCTGCGAAGCCAAACTTGCATGGCTTATCATCGGCATCCGTAGCGCGGATCCACCGCCTGAGGTTCCCAGCGGACCGCAAAATCTTCTCGATGCCCTCGTCGCCGCCAGCGCCCTCGGTGATACCCCCAACAAAGATGGTCCTTACGATCTCTTCCCTCGTCGGAGGCTGCAGCTGCATCATCGCATCTCGTACATTCTGGCGTTGAGACTCAAAACTCGTTGAACCCAAACCAGCACGCCTTCCCGGAGCCTCGCCACCGCGTTCCTTGCTCGTGTCCGGAGTAGCTGATTTCGTAGGGCCGGACGTCCCAAGTCGTATCACAGGTGCGGAGAAGTTAATGTTGGGCATATTGGGGGGGGGTTGGAAGTTAGGAGGGAATCCCGCAGGTCGACCGGGCTGCGGCATGTTTGCCTGCTGCATCCCCGGGGGAGGAGCGGTCCCCGGAGCTGCCATCCCAGGAGGAGGAGCTAGGATGTATCAGTACATTGAAAGGGATGGAAAGAGGCGCGATGAAAGAAAAGCGTATACTGACCCATGCCAGGAGGAGCTCCATAGGCTCCATAGTCAGGAGGCCTGCCATACAGACCTGGAGCTAGAAAATTGAGTTAGCACCTCGCACACTGAGGAATCAGAGGCTTCAGAATTGTGCGTAGTGGACATACTTTGGTAAGGATTGTACATCACGGCTGGTTTCGCCGCTCTGATAGCGACGGACAGGGAAGCTGTAGAAAATATCGAATAGCAGCAGAACTAGCTATGCGTTTTGATAAGGAAGAGCAAAAACTTGATTAAATAGAAAACAAGTAAGGAAGAGCCACCTGCAGCAGATGATAGCTGAGAATGCAGGTCTGAGAAGTAGATCAAGTGCTCCTGCGATCAGTGTCGGAGTCGGCTTGGAGAAACTTGCGATAAAGTCGGTCGTGAAGGCGGTATGGTCCGTGCATTTCCTTTTTGGGCATTGGCCTTTCTTGTGAAGACCATCTTGTGACTGCTCCGTACAACTGCACTCTAACAGTTGCAGAAGCTTTTGAGAATCATTATATAACTTGATATTCACCCTCATGCTCTGTGAACACATGTACTATATCTAGTGAATTGACGTACTTCAATTACCCCGCTGAGACAGTTCCGTATACCCCCAATGACCAAGTATATATATCCCATTGCAAATGAGATATTATCGCCATAAACACAACTTAAGATACTGAATAATGGCTAATCGTTTGTGGGAATGCTAAGACCTCGACAGAAGAAGCTGTCAATGCAGATTCCATGAAACCGAAGCTTCCCAGCATCTACGTATGAAGTGGGAGCTCCAAATTACAAACGAGAAGCAACGGATCAATATCAAACTTTGTCAGGCATGATCAGGATGTGCAATTGACTCCGTAACAATCAGAAGCAGAGTAAATTGCTATTATGCGCATGATCGCCGTTTTAAACTATCCCTACTAGACTCCTGTCGTACTCCTCTACCTATTTAGCCGACCTTCTGCAACGGAACCCGCAGGAATCATGGGAATGCTAGGTATGGAGTCTACTATGTACAGAACTCTTAGGACTCCCCTCATTATACTCACCGGCAGACATTTATCTACAGCATCCGGAACACAGAGGCTTCTTGGCACTGGGGGCTTGGACTATTGAGAAATAGCCTTCGGATTGCTCAGGAAATTTGATGCCGGAGTACAGTCGTCCATCAGTAACACATTTTCCGAGGAGCACCAGAATGTGCAAGTCACCTGGATAGACCTTGTCAGCATCTTCTATTTGCGTTATTGCCATTGAGTATTATTATTATCATGTTCTCCAAATCTAGAACGCACCAGATTACCAAGAAGACCAGAGCCATTGCAATCAATGTGGGTAAGGTTACTGCAAAGTTGTAATTCCACCTTGGGGGTGTTCAGATGATCATAGGAGATTCGACACCATTCAGACCCTCATGATAACGGTTTAGTAAACACCAGGAAGTATGATAGACTTTATTACTCAAAGATATATAAGCATCTTCCAAATTATGTATCTTTCCGTCACTCCATTCAGTATCAAGTAATAGTCGGATAAATTCACCGCTGGTCTCTCTTGCCTCTCATTTTGTCTGCCCCACGTCAGCCCCTCCAAGCGGACCCCAACAGGCCGATTGACGACATACTCCCTTACTAGTACCTGAGGTAGTACTAAGATAGCCATAGCTACGTTACCAGGTTCCAAGCAGTCCAGCTGTTTTTCCGGCCTTCATCATCGCCCTCCCTGCTTCCCGCTTCTAGAATTTCATCAACTCCTTTCTCTCCTCCATCTACCTATACCCTCAGACTGAATCTAAATTCCTCACATACCTCTCTTCTCTTCTAGGTACGGAATTTATTTAGTTGCGCCCGACTCCTCAATCTGCTTCATTCCTTTGTTAATACCCCTCCATCTCCTGCCCCGCACTGACGCAAGAGCTCTCCTACTATAGATCAACTCAAAAACTACACAGCAGTCACAATGCCTGGTTTTTCGCAGGCTACAGAACTCGGTGCCTGGAAGGAGCTCCAGGAGCACCACAACTCCCTCGGACGCAACATTGTCCTCAAGGAATACTTTGAGAAGGATCCTCAGCGCTTCGAGAAGTTCAGCCGTACCTTCGCCAACTCGGTTGACAATACCGAGATCCTCTTCGACTTCTCCAAGAACTTCCTCACCGAGGAGACCCTTGCCCTCCTGGTGAAGCTCGCCAGAGAAGCCGGTGTAGAGGAACTCCGCGATGCCATGTTCAAGGGCGAGCCCATCAACTTCACCGAGGACCGTGCGGTTTACCACGTTGCGCTGCGCAATGTCACCAACCAGCCCATGCAGGTCAACGGCAAGAGCGTCGTTGAGGATGTCAACTCCGTGCTTGAGCACATGAAGGAGTTCTCGGAGCAGGTTAGAAGCGGTGAATGGAAGGGTTACACAGGCAAGAAAATCAACACAATCATCAACATCGGTATCGGTGGTTCTGATCTGTAAGTTTGCTACTTACCCTTTACTGTTTGCGCTGCTTCGATCTCCAGGGGCAATTCTTTGGCTGAACGATTGCTAACACGCCAAATAGCGGCCCTGTCATGGTGACCGAAGCGCTCAAGCCTTATGGCGCCGAGGACATGACCCTTCATTTCGTCTCCAACATTGATGGAACCCACATTGCCGAAGCTCTCAAGCACTCCGACCCCGAGACCACTCTTTTCCTGATTGCTTCCAAGACATTCACCACTGCAGAGACCACCACCAATGCAAACTCCGCAAAGAAGTGGTTCCTTGAATCTGCCAAGGATGAAGCCCACATTGCTAAGCACTTCGTCGCTCTCTCCACCAACGAGGAGGAGGTGACAAAGTTTGGTATTGACAAGAAGAATATGTTCGGTTTTGCGTCCTGGGTCGGCGGTCGCTACTCCGTGTGGAGCGCCATTGGGCTCTCTGTTGCCCTCTACATCGGCTTCGACAACTTCCACCAATTCCTGGCTGGTGCTCACGCCATGGATAAGCACTTCCGCGAGACTCCCCTCGAGCAGAATATTCCTATTCTCGGTGGTCTGCTGAGCGTCTGGTACAGCGACTTCTTCGGCGCCCAGACCCACCTTGTAGCACCTTTCGACCAGTACCTGCATCGCTTCCCCGCCTACCTGCAGCAACTCTCCATGGAGAGTAACGGCAAGGCTATCACTCGCACCGGAGAATACGTCAAATACACCACCGGCCCCATTCTGTTCGGTGAGCCCGCCACCAACGCCCAGCACAGCTTTTTCCAGTTGCTGCACCAGGGTACCAAGCTTATTCCTTCGGATTTCATCATGGCTGCTGAGTCGCACAACCCTGTCGAGGCGGGCAAGCACCAGCGCATGCTGGCTTCCAACTTCCTTGCTCAGTCCGAGGCCTTGATGGTCGGAAAGACTCCCGAGCAGGTCAAGACCGAAGGCGCCCCGGACAACCTGGTGCCTCACAAGACATTCCTGGGTAACCGCCCAACCACCTCCATTCTCGCCCAGAAGATCACTCCCTCCACGCTCGGTGCCCTGATTGCTTATTATGAGCACCTCACCTTCACCGAGGGTGCCGTGTGGAACATCAACTCCTTCGACCAGTGGGGTGTCGAATTGGGCAAGGTCCTTGCCAAGAAGATCCAGAAGGAGCTGGAGACACCCGGAGCAGGTGGTGACCACGACGCTTCCACCAGCGGCTTGCTGCTGGCCTTCAAGAAGAAGGCCAACCTGGCTTAAATCTTGCTGCTAACACCGGCCGGGTCAAGTCAAACAAAACTACAAAAATTGTAATTCTTCACGACTCATGAGTGATTGCTTTTTTTCTTCCATAGCACACACTTGAAATGAATGTCATCAACCCAAGATAGTGCCCATCTCGTAGAACACTTTTCAGATCTCTTAGGTATATCTCAGGTCGTAATAACAGAACCAGGCGTTTGGAATCAAATAAGATTGTAGATATCTATGGGACCAAACTTGAATCGCAAGAAACATATCACGACTAATCTATCCACGATGGGCGTTAGAATTAGGTTCATTGACTGTGGGAGATCGTTTCGGCGGATTGGGGGAAACTCTTTGTTGATCCCGCGGCAGCCACATGTCCAGTGTCCACTCTGGCAAACTCCGAATATCGTTCCACGAGGGAAGCTCAAATACGCCTCTTTGGCGTCAACGAATCCTCTAACATGTTCTTTCCCCAGAAACGATTATTGCATATGCCATTCTTAGCACGTTATTATGCATTGATACTTGTTGCTTTGTCGCAGGTCGCGGCGGCGGGGAAGAGTGATGTCGCCAACGGCAGGGCTGTGTATAGCTATGGACAGCCTATGCCGGTGACCTGTTTGAACCGGACAATGTGAGTATGCAGATATCGATCAGGAAGATTCGGTCTCTTTGAATATAACATACTAATTGCCTGTTTAGTGACTCTGGAGAACATGTAACGCCTCCCCCTTTCCGCTCTCTCTTTACTGCTTGTTGCTGAGCATGCCGATGCTGAGATATTTGTCTCTACAACGCAGTCCTTCAATATGCCCTCTGGCTAACATCTCTCTTACTGTGCAGATCACGGACAATCTCGGCAAGCTGCAATACATTCCCTTCCCAACCTGCAACGAGACCTTCCTCCCGCTTGCCCTCCGCTACGGGGTGACAGAGACAATCAATTGCACCATCAGCTCGCTCCCCGACGAGCTCTACCACCTCCTAGAGTATTACGTCCACGCGGATGTACCACTGGCCTGTCGCGTACCCACCGCACCCCTCGCCCCATCCGCGCTGGCAGGCCCATCCCCTGATACGAAGAAGAGCGAAAACACCGACCTCTCCCCCCTCGACAATGGCGGACCGGCATACACACCCCTTACCTTCGCTCTACAGGGTACCCTGCAGCGCAGCCACCTCCACATCTGGACAGACATGAACGTCCTCGTGCACAATATCCCCTCGGTCTCCGCGTCGAGCAAGGCCAAGAAGAGTACTCGGACGGGCAAGCATGCGAGCCCGGGGTACGTCGTGGCCGGCACCGCCTACTCGATTCCCGAGTTCGACGGCCCTGTTCCGAAGGACAAAGACGCTGATGAGGACGACGCGGCTGTTGCTGTTTCCGAGGCGGCGCGCGATCCCTGGACGGCCGGCCACGGTACGAAGGTCATTCGCGGCGAGCCGCTCACGTTCACCTTCCATGTTAGCTGGGTTGAAGGCGGGAAGGGGATCTGGTGGCCTGCTGGGGCCCCGGATTCTGCGGGTGGCTCGTCTGGCGTGGCGTCGTTCTTCTCCAGGTTGTTCTTCTTCGTGCTGGCTGCCGGTGTCGGGGCGGTCGTGGCGTTGTACTGGGAGCGGAATGGGGCGCGCCGACGGGCTGGATGGCGCGGAGATGGGATTTTGGGTGCCTCTGCTCCTCGTGGGAAAGGGTCGGTTGGGATCGCGTACGGCAATGGGGGTAGAGTAAATGGGTATGGGGGTTACTCGCCTGCGAGCACTCCCTCTGTGGTCGCTACTGGTGGAGGGGGTTCTGGATATGGGGGATACGGGAAGAAGGACTGAGGTGTTGTACATGACTCTATGCGGATGACTGGATATCTCATGTCTACATCTAATTCTGACGAGAAATGAACTTCTTGAATACCAACCAACCGGAACTATTGTTAACTGGACATATACCAAATAGAAAATCAGTTAAAAAATAGTTATACATGACAGGAAAACCCTTTTCCGCAAGCACTTTCTCTGGCTCGCAGTGTCCACTTAATCTCCCTCATCCGAGACCAGTCGCAGGTTTTGATGCAGACCGTCTCTCTATGTACACAGCCTCGCCGAAAAACCACCACTTAACACATCTTACCAGCCCTGCGCCCTCATCCGCTGGATCTTGTTCACAGTCTCCTTAAACGAGAACTTGAACAGCTTCCGCCACCGCTCCATCCTTAAGTTCTTCCGCATCTGGCCCCTCCGCACATGGAACTTCTGCGAATGCCACTGCGACCGCACCTTGTTTGTCGAGATATTCCCCTGCAGCACGCGTAGCGCCGTCGTCAGATCCACCCCCTTCTCCGGCTCCACGTGCACCTGGCGACCCAGCGTCGGCCCCAATTTCAGCTCTACCCGGCGGAGCGGCTGTTTATAGCTGTCTGTCTCGGGGGCCATGCTGACCGCGCGCGAGAGAGAAAGGGGGTCGAAGGACTGCTGGGAGGACTGGCTGCCTTCTGTAGCATCGCGGTTGCTGTTGTTGAGGTTCAGTTGGTTGAGGATCCGGTCGAAGTCGGCGGAGTTGGAGTTGGATGCTGTGCTGCTGGTTTGGACCTTGGATTGATCCTGGGTTGACGCGGGGGTCGTAGAGCCTGGCTGGCCCTGGCTAGTGGGACGAGTTTGTAAGAGGGAATTGGAGGTTGAGAAGTATCGGAGGGCATTCTGTCCGCGGAAGATGATGGGTTGTGTGGTGTATAGCGAGGTTGTCGGCCTCAGTCGGAGGCATCGAGCCACGGATCGTGCCTCCATCTTTGCAATGTGGGGAAATTGGTGATACGTATGAAGAGGGAATGAGTAGAAACGCTAATCTCAAAAGGAAAATATGGTTGGTTCTTGAAGACAACGATCAGTGCTCGGCGTGAAGCTGTATCTCGCTGGAAATCTTGCGGACATTCTCAAGACGGAAATCTGCACTCACGTGACTGGGTCATTTCTATAGATGCTCCGCAGCCGAAACGACTCAACATCGGACAACATCAATTGACAAGGCAGAGTTTAAATTCTCTAGAAGACATTCAGACCGCAGGGCAGCTCGCATTATCAAAAATACAACCTGCAGTATTCCGACTGCCATAAACGAGACATGCCCTCAATCACAATAGCAACTCTTCCCCGCATGACTCGGGATGCTCTCTCTGAGCTGCTTCTCTCGACCAGTTCTCCCAACAAGCTCGCCATTATCGACGTAAGAGATTCGGGTACGATGCGAAGCCACCCACACATTTTTCCGCTGTTTTCAAATTGATTTCTTTTCTTGCAGACCACATCGGCGGGCATATTCATTCCTCCACCTGGGTTCCAAGCTCATCACTCGACTATCGCATGCCGGAACTGGTTCGAACGCTCAAAGACAAAGAAAAGGTTGTATTCCACTGTGCCCTGAGCCAACAGCGCGGCCCCTCTGCCGCCCTCCGCTACGTGCGAGAGCGAGAGGCAGCATTGGGTCCTGAAGAAAGCAAGAAGCAACAGGTCTATGTCCTCGAGGGCGGGTTTGTCCAGTGGCAGGAGAAATATGGTAAAGACACCCGGCTGACAGAGGCGTACGTCGAGGATATATGGAGAGAGTATTGAGACGCCGCTTGGCCGTCTCATAACAGTGATCCCATTGCGATATACACCACTTTCCATCGACTTCACAAGACTCCCGAGGAGGACTACTCGGGTCCGGTTTACCGCGGCCGGATAGAGGGTATACGTCTCTGTCTGTGAGATTCAGAATCAGTTCCACGCTACGCTGGACTCGTGTTTCGAGACATGGCGGGTTCTAACGCTGCAAACGCGATGGCGCAATGCTTATACAGCCTTCTACCGCAACCACTTGTCTATAAACGCTAAGAGCTTGTGGATACCACTTCTATATATACATCTATCGTACAGTTGTCTTCATAAGTACGCAGAAAGAATCGCAGGTATTACTGCAATTGTTACATCTGAACAGTCCCACCGAATCCAACAGGTCTCCTTCTCCCACCATTCTCCGGAATGATGGCCATGAACTTGTAGAGCTTTCCCATGCCGCCCCCGCCCCTCTCGATCAATCTCTTCCACCCACTTTCGAGCGTCTTGCGCTTCTCTTCATCCTGAACTCCTTTGAGCAGTTGCTGCATCCGCTCTGCGATGCCCATGACCTGCAGGAAATCTCCCTGCTCTACCGGTCCGTGGACCTCAACACCCTCGCTAGCTTCAATGGCCGCCTCCGCAAGAGCTATGAAATCAACATCAGCACTCACGTCGACTTGGCCCGGCGACGAGAGTGCCGGCACATTCCGATGATGCTGGATCCCGCGGAGCGAATTGATAGGGATGGTCGACATCGTTCCGTAATCCATGATTAGCGCTGCTCCAGATGGTACCTTCTTCGGCTGCGCGGCGGCTGCATTCCGCGAGCCGACAGTCCGAGGTGGTTGCGACGAACCCCCAATGCGGCGAGCAAAGTCGGACGCATATATACGGCTTTCCGGACTGACTTCGATCGTAGAACCTGGCGTAGACTTGAGCTTTCGGTAGCGCTCTGAAATCTCCGGGATCACGAGAGAAGACGGAGTCGATGCCTTGGCTAGTGTCAGCTTGAATTCAGGCTCGCCTTCGAGATTCTCTTCGACTGCTTTGGGATTCAATGTAACCATGATCTCGCGCCACTGCGGGGTATTAGCGGGTTTCATGGGTTGGTTCAGCTTCGCAGGGCCGGTAGGAGTCATAATCTCGTTTTGTTCGGACTGGTTCTCAGGCGCCGGGGGAATGGACTCGAAAGCGTGGATTGGAAGCGCATCGAAGAATTCGTGGGCAAAGATGAATGGCGTTTTGTCTTCCTCTGCATAACCGTCTCAGTAACCGGCCCTTCAACAGTCTGGAAGCTCAATGCGGGTCTCACCATGAGGCAGTAGTCGAATATCTTCTACCCAGACCACCGGAACATTGAAATACTTGCTGATGCTCTTGTGACCAATATCCGTCTCCTCCATAGCCGCGTCACCACAAAGTCGCTGTTTCTGGACCTCTCTCAACGTCGGGCTAGCTTCAACCAGATAGATAGCTTCAAGACTCGACGCAAAGCTCTTGAAGTTCCTGAACGTCTACCCGTGAAGATCTATCAGCACGGGACATTCCGAACCGACTGCCGAGGATGAAATAACTCACACGTAACATGTCGTCCATCAGTGTGCCCTTCCCCGGTCCAACCTCTATGAGCTGCACCCCGCTGCGTTTCCGTCCCTGGGCCATCCATTCTGTGATCGTCCATATACCCACCAGCTCCCCGAAGACTTGTGAGATTTCAGGTGAGGTTACGAAATCTCCCTTCTTTCCGAAGACTTCGCCGCCGCCCTCAGGTCGAGTCGTGTAATAGCCACCCTCTGGAGATGTGAGAACTTGGCGCATAAAGGCCGCGATGGGGATCGGCCCTGTGACCTAAAATCAAGCCGTTTGTCAGCTATAGTTCAAGAACTCGCCGCAAGGCTGAACGCAAGAGAATGTCCAGATACCTTGATCGCATTCGCTAGCGTTTTCGCGAGCGGTGTAGACCACTGCCTTTGATCAAATGTTGAGAAGCATCGGTGCGACCCTATCCGTAGGTTTCGACACTGATATGTTCGAACACGTCGGGTCAAAGCACGCTTCGTCGCACTATTCATCTTTTGGATGCGATCTTCTCAAGCACATACGGTTGGGGACGGCCTTCCAATCTGATATGGTCAATGACCGGTGCGCATCGGAGGAGGTTCAATGGTAATCAGGTATGTTTAAGAAGGACGTTCCTTGCGAGATAGACTGCTACATGTAGGCTAAGTAGCTATTCCCACAAGCTCCGATGTTCCATATCTCCAATTTCTCCGCAATAAAGTTTCGGAGCACGTGATGTTATCTTATCGATTCATTAATTTACAGCGATTAACCTCCACTATTGCGACTTATCGTCAGGATCGACAGAATAAATTGCTCGCAGAGCGTGCACCCGAAAGCCTGATTTCTGAAAAGGAAAGTCCCTGATGTACTCAGCAGTGGGCTGGTGCGGAAAGAGGCATTATTTCCCATCGGAAGAAACAAAACAAGAGATTCGGTGATAGCATGGCCCGGCCACTTCGAGCAAGACGTGCTAGTTCATCGGCGCCGTCCACCCCTATGGCCGGAGTTCTGTGTGGGTGCATCGGCCATCATCTGATCGCTATAAAGTCCAGTCTCTTGCGTATTCTGGTTTGTTTGTCTGCCAGCTCGTCCGTACGCTCGGTTGCCTCTCGCATTGCGTCTGTTGAAACGGCCATTGCCTCGAGAATCGTCCCGAGAAAGCAGGTCATCTCCTTCAGCGAAACCGTATCTTCCATCCTGCACGGCAGGTTCCGTTTTCCGGTTGACTCGACGCTCGCGATCCGCTTGCTCTCGTAGATTGCTGAATGAGGACTGAGGATTCTGCACGTGCTGAGAAGGTGTCGGTTCGGCCGTGGAGTGCTTGAACCGCAAGGACAAAATTCTGCCGTCAGCCTTCGAGTTTGTCAGCCAGTGAAAAGTAATTGTAATGTTCAGTTGGAAGTATCACCTTTTGGTTGTGGAAGTTGGCGATGGCGTTTTCTGCGGACCATTTGTCGGCAAATGTGATCTCGGCCGTGACAGTAGGATGCTGCGAGACGATCCAACAGCTCAATATCTGTCCCGATAACGGTTCAATAGCGGATTGGATGTCTGCTGCCGTGGTGCCTGGAGCGAAATTGCTCCCAATCACGACAAAAGATCCTGACCCTGCTCCTCGAATAGTTATACCAACAGGATTGTCGCGCACCGTTGATTGTCCACTCGCTGGATTGAGCGCTGAAAGAAGGCGCTCCTCGTCTGGGCGACGTTTGCTGGTGCGTTTTGGTTGCGAGTTTGCTGCTCGTACTGGCGCTGACTGAGTGCGATGAGTCTTCGTAGTTTTCGATGTAGCTGATGCGGAAGGCTGATAGTACAGTAGTTCAATGTTAGTCTTGACCGTGCGCTAAATAGTATGAAGGCGCGCATTCCACAATACCTTAACGACCCCAATTCGACTGGCGAGACTCCCTGGCTTTGCTTTCTGAGACTTGCTTCCAGCTCCCGCGCCTGTGGCGACAGTCTTTCTGCTTTTACCAAGGATTTTGCTCGCGAGTTCTTCATTCTTTCTCTTTTTGCGATCTAAATGCTCAGGATGCAATCAGAAAGGCATAATTTCTACGAGGATTCTGAGACGTATTGGACGCCTTACCCGCTTGGATGATGGCATCGAAGGAGACAGCTCCTTGGCTGGCGGCCATGACGAGAACGGCGCGCTTGGAACAGGACGTAAAAAAGGGACAAGGTGACGCGAAAAGAGATATGTCAGGATGGAAAATAAATTCTTTTTGAATGGCGACGAAAGTTAAATTTCAATTAGAGGCTGTTGTAGATAGGTAAAAAGGATGAGAAAGGTGGCCCATAATTAAGGTGTGAGATCTTTTCAGAGCTTATTGCTTCTGGGTGCAGCTAGCCGGCGCAGAGCAACACCAAAGTACTCCGTAGTCTGTAGTGAGGATCCTGTACATCAGCTTCAGCGGCATCAATGATCCAACCTAATCTCTTGCGATATTAATAGAAGTTTGGCAAATCCTGCCGCAAATATATCCTAGACAATTAGAGGAGTCCTATAGGCATACAACAGTCTGTATCAGTCTTTTTTGTGGCTAATGTGAATCTAACCTCACAACTTCCTTTTCCAGCAGGCGCAATGTATTCTTTAATCGCAGTGAATATGGAAGCTGCAGCCCCCAGTGGCTTCTTTCTTCTGTCCAACATTGCCAACATCTCTAACTATCTGATAACCTGCATTCGCCACTGGAGCTATAGGTTCTGTTTGGTGATCTCTTGTGTTTCTCCCATCCTATCACTTAGTAATTGGTGCATTTACCGGATTTCATTTCAGATATTGTGTATCCTTCTCAATCGACCTACTCCTCTGACGTATGAAAAGTCACGCAAGCCTTCTTTCCTGTCTAGCACGCGCAAGGACCAGACTGAGCTGAGGAACCGCTGCTAGTGTCGATATCCAAGAAGATGACTTCGGAAGACCTGACCATCGGCAAACAGACATTGTCTTCGTCACTAGTTCTTCGCTCACCCTTCAGGAGCAGCAATAGGTATTTCTCAATTCCACAACGGCAAGAGGAGTTCATATTGACAAGGTCATCCTAGGATCGAGAGACCAGCCACTCCACCAGCATCTTGTGAGGAATTAGCCCATTATCCCGTCTTCAACCCACGCGACCCTCGACACAACCCTGCAGCGTCCGCATCTTTGTGGCTGCAAAGTGATTACTACCGACCCCAAGCATCCAGAACACAGAATTCAGTCAGCTGGATGCAGGATTTGCCGAGAAGATCACTCCGCAAAGCGCGATCAGGTCTGTTGGCCCTTCGTTCTGGAATACAAAGACGACAGCTTCCAGGCGGCCACGCTCGAAGAAGTGATATACCTAGTATTTGGTCCTCGAGAGACTCTACAGAGGACTCATCTGATCATTTTCCGTCGTCAGTGTCGGACGCTAGCACAGAAGACGATCATGAGTTCGGCACCGGCCTCTATCGAACAGGTCGAAACCATTCCTCCTCAAGTGAAGCTCTGAAAGATCACAGCCATAACACTGTACCATCCACATCGCCGTTGTCTTGTACCGTCGGTGGGGGCTTAGGGGGCACTGGGTTAACGAGCTCCCTAGCCGCACAGGAAAAGAGAGGAGTCAATGGTACGTCAGAAGCAGGGGTGGATGGTGCGTCAAAGACAGCAACGACAGTGGGGTCCCCTCGAGAGCACATCACCGAGCCCAAGCACGACGGTCACACCCCGGACGGATCAATTACACTCGTCCAGACCTCGACTCATGCCATTTCCAATTCGCCATCTGTCAGCCTCATTGAGCTTAGCGGAATAGAAGCGACGACGGTACACACAGCATCATCAGAAACATCGAATGTAGCATTCCGGAAGAGTCCCATGAATTCGCAGCCGAGTGAGGACTGTATGAAAGATTTATGCTCACAGGCCCATCATTCAAGTCCTGTTCCACCCCATTCGCCAGTTATCAACCCTGAGAAGCCGGCCGCGACTGAGGGTCCTGAAGAGTTGCTCAATCCAAATGAGCGAGAACTCAATGAATCAACTCCAGGCCACGAGATCGCTCTACCACTCATCGCTTCCGGTTCAACTGACTCAATGGCTTGTGTATATGTCTCTAGCCGTTCCCCGTCCAGGTCATCTTCTGTCAGCTCTAGTGACTCAACGTTTCGGCAGATACCGGCCGTCCAATTGATGATGGGAACGCTTGAATTGTTTGCGGCGTCGTCGTCGAGAGAATGCAGCAGCGGCGGTCATACCTTATGTTGCAGCGATGTTGCAGAAAACGATCTCATGTCACGGGCAATTCACCATGCTCCAGCCGACCATTCCTCGGATGGAAATGTACCAACCAAGACAGAGCCTCAGCAGTCTAGACCCTCGAAAGCAGGAGAGACGCAGGTAACTCATGCTGGTGCATCCATCACGGTTAGTGTCAATTTTAATGTTACCCGCTCGTCATTGACGAAATCATAGGAACCATCAGAAGCGAGATCGAGCGCGCAGGAAGAGGAAACTGCGAGCTGCTTGCTGCCCGCTTTGGACAACACTGGTTTCCTTGGAGTCCAAGACAGTTCAGACCCGTGCGCGGCTCGAAGACCACCCTCTCCAAGCCAAACTGAAGACAGCACGTCAGATTCAGATTTCGTCCGGTCACCAATTGAGATCGATGACGCACTCGCCTCACTGATTTTCAGAGACGAGTTCTTCTTTGTCGACGGCAAATCGAGTGATGTCACCCCCGATCGAGGAGACAATCCTATAAAAACAGGAAGCCGAATTGCGAGAGATGGTAGAATTTACAGTGGTCCGGGACTCGACCGTAACATGTCAGTCAGAACGCAGGAGATCCCAGAGATTGTCGGACCAAGTATGTACGCTTCGCGTCGGGGTAACCTGCCGAGTCTCGAACGAGACGCAAGCGATTCCACAGATGAGTGTATTGTTACTTACCCCATGTGGGAACGACGTCAATTCCCATAATGTCCGGGTTATACGTAAGTTACACGACGGCACAACGGAAGAAGCTGGAGTCGGAGTGCGTTATTTGCGCCATTTTCATTGTCTCTGTATTGTTAATGGGCCTTGTATACTTATGTCACAAGCGCCCGCGGTAAGGATCGCTGGGTTGAATGGGCACAGGTTGGAAATGACACTCATTTGTACAAATAATGTATGCAGAGCCTCTTTCTGATAGATGCCTACCGCTAAGGTGTTTAGGAAATCACAAAACAGACTCCTTCAGTTATGTGCCCAAGACACGAAGGCTGGTCTTGCCTTAATCGTATCTCTCGAAACCTCGCACTTAGTAGCATGAAAGGCTAACCCAGACGCAAGGTAAAACCAGCGCCTGTTTCCCCGGTATCGCCACTGGATTGACCACCGAATACACTGGCAAAGTCCAAGGCGGGAGCTTCCTGTCCACGCTTCGGCGCTTCTGGAGTCTCACGACGCCTTCGCCTCTCCATGCCTGCCTTGGATGGGAAGGTCGGAAACATCTCCTTTGGCTTTGGTCGCGGGTCCTCTCGGAAATATTTATGTGAGAGGCACTCCTGAGCAGTAGGGCGCGCACTTGGATTCAATGCCAGTAAAGACGACAGAAGCCGCAGACCGGCATTGGTGAGAAAGGGGAACTTTGAGCGGGGAAGTAAGGGAGGGATTTCAGTCGGCCCCGATGAGGTTGTAGGTGGAAGGCGAAGTGATTTGGCATTAGGAAGGGAGCGGAAACCAGGCCACGTTTGCTGGGTAGGAGGGCCCGTGAGAGCGAATATCTGGGTTTATCTGTCAGCGCGAACGGACCTAAACGTCAAAAGGAAAGCAGATGTTTTACCTTTGATACTTGATCGACTTCATTTTTACCCTGCAGCAAGGGTTCTTTGGTGAGCAATTCGCCAAAGATGCACCCAATACTCCACATGTCGATTTCCGGCCCGTACTTTTCTGCGCCCAGCAGGAGCTCCGGGGAACGGTACCAGAGCGTTACAACAAGCTGCGTCAGCTTCGGCGGCGGATCGCCGTAGTACCGTGCCATGCCGAAGTCGGCAATTTTGATCTCGCCGCGGTTGTTCATCAGGAGGTTGGAGGTCTTCAGATCACGATGCATGATCCAGTGGGAGTGGAGGAACTCGAGGCCGGAAAGGATTTGAAGCATGAGGGTCTTGATTTCCGAAGGGAGGAACGGTTCGCGCATGTCGTCGAGTAAGGTTTTTAGATCATGTTCGAGGAAATCCATGACGAGGAATACACTGTTGGTGGGATAGAGGTGCCCAGAGCCCCGAATTGGTTAATACTGGTGTATCTTGAACTTTTCGGGATGGAAGCAGCACCAACGCTGGGAGGGGGTATTGAAAGACTGGGGGTAGAGGGTAGGAAGGGCCATACATACTCATCCATTTTAGTCCCCATGACGACCTCGCGGAGATGCACAATGTTCGTATGGCGAGCTTCCAAGAGCGTCTGGATCTCCCGTAATCCCGTTACCGGAAACCCATCCGGCGAATTCTCCATCTTGAGCTTTTTGAGAGCCACCACCTCCCCGGTCGTGATATCCCTTGCCCTGCTCACCCACCCATACGAACCCTCCTCGATGTGATTCAGCCGTTCAAAGTTATCCACAAGCCGACAGGGTCCCCATTCGGGCGCCGGAAACCGCAGGAGAGTCGACCGGGTCTGCTCGGCTGGCGCTTTGGCTGCAGACCCCGATGCTGCGGAGGGCGTGGGCTGCTCGTTCGACAGCCGGCGACGCTTCTTGGGAGGAGCTTCCGAGTCCCCATTGAGCGCGTCTCCTTGCTGTTGCAGTGGGGCTTGTGCGGTCTGGAGTCGTGCTTGCTCCTCCAACTGACGCTGTTTCTCTGCCTTGGCGCGTTTCTTCTCTTCCTTTTCGCGTTTTCGTTGTGCGAGGATGGCGTCTTCCTCGGGGTCTTCGGCGGCCCAGCGCGATTTGGACGGGGCGGACATGGCCCCTATCAGGAATTGGGAGAATCCAAAACCTGTAGATTTGCTGACGGATTCGGGATATGCCGTTTAATGAGCACCGTTTTAAACCAGCTTCGGGTTGAGAGATGAATTCGGAAAGGAGATGTTACAGCCCGGCTGGTATGGTGACGCTATCGGAATAACGAATTTGGGGAATGTGATCGAAGGGCCGAGCTCCATCGCCGATTTCAA